GTCCCCAACCTATACTGGTACATGGGGTTGTCCTTTCCCAGATTCACAGATACTTATGGCAAATAAGGGGCAGTGAGACTCTCAGAGTTCTGATTCAGTCCCAAAGTCCAGCAGTTGTAGACCTTTTTATGTGTTTCCTGAAAGTGTTTCCTTTTCTTCTCTGTGACCTTCCAAAACTGTCCTTGTCCCAGAATTCTCTTTTCCCTTTGCCTGCTGTGCCAGTCTTTATTGAGGCTTTTTAAAGCATTCTCTGTCTCCTTGCCCATCTATTCTGCTTTTACCAGCATAATTTCTTCCCAGGGAGATCATGTTTTTTTTACCAAAGAGATCATGTTCTTCATTCCTACTTCTGCATCAGACCTGTATTTCTTTCCTTCCTCCCATGTCCTGTTTTTCCTTCCACTCCCTTGCCTCTGTTTGTATTATTCTTTCTCAGACTTACTTGTTTTTTCTTAAAATTTCTGTCCTCTGCATTACAATGCTGAGGATAACATGAGATCCACAGCATCTCCCTCAACTGTTCTACATTTGGAGGAATATCATTAATTTGTCTCTCAAATTACCCAGAATGTATGCACGTTTTGTGTGCTTTTATGTTGTGAGCACACACAGTACTTTTCACAAGCCATGCAGTTCTTGGCTGCTTTTACTACTTTTGTGTGCTCTCTTGAAAAGTTTTTGGCAGCTCCATTTCTGTCTTGAGCCACTGGATGTGATTATTGGCAGCCAAAGCTTGTAGCTTTCAGGAGAATGGCTGCTGGTTTAGCTCTCCTTTATTATTGGTTGGTTTTACTGGTCATTTAGCTTATAATGTTTGAAAATATTTAAAGCAGAATAAAAGAGCCAAGAAGATTATTAAAGGAGTTATCTGCGAAACGTAATTCCACCTTATTTTAATTCCTCTGTGGGTAATTCCTATTTCCTTTACTTTGAATCTGTCATAAACTGTATCCCACACATGGGATTTGCTGGATTGAGTTTGTACTCTGTAAATTTGGCTACTGCAACAAGAGTAAATGAGCATATTTCTGTAACTGAAGCTCTTCATCTGTGTATTGCAGTTGAGCATTCCTCAGCTACCTGGAATTCTTTCTTAACTGAGGGTATACAGTGTGCAAGAAGTGAATATGGGAAAACAGAGGCTAGGAGTCGGGCAGTATTCAAGCTGTCAGTTGAAAATAAGGCTTCTCTTCAGGCTGGCTTGACTGTGATATCAAAGGTTCATTTTGTGACACAAAAATGGTCACTGTGCTATTTAATTGTGAGCGTTATGACTGCTGTCACTAGAATACTTGCTACCCTGCTAGAAAATGCCATGCTACCAGTAAATTACATTAATCAATGAGAATTATTTGTACAAGAAGAAATCCAGGGAAGTTGGCTACCCCACAAGCCATGACCTTTGGCTCAAAATTTTTGGTAACAGTCTGTCAAGAAACTATTTTCTTTTCTACTCTATCTTCACTTATGGCTCATGTTTTTGTTTGATAAAGAGATTGTTATGCATTTTTTCTCAACTGTAGCCTCTCTATCTTTGTGCTTTGATTTCATTCTTTTACTTTTTTCTTATCCTTATATCCTAGCCCTGGGTTTTTCACCACTGGTTTTGTAAACTGTGGAGAAAAGCAGGAGGCACTCTTTACAACCTCAAGTCAAAATCCAGAAATCTTAATTTTTTTTTCTTGAAAAATATTTAGCTAAAAGGAGAAATAGGCAAACTCTAAACAACAGAAAGCTTTTGTCACTTGGGTGTTTAAGTTCAGCCCTGCATCGACACTGAAGGAATTCCCTAAAGACAAAAGATAAAATAAAATCATCCAATTTTGATAGTTGGTTTCATCTTTTTTTGAAGGGGAAGGAAAGACTGTTAGGAAGAATTACATATGGATCGCCTAAGTGCAACTTTCAGTTGAGGATTACTTGCCACTGCTTTTCTTATGTTGCATCTTTGGGAAAAAAAAAATGAATTAATATGACCAGTGTGACTTAGTGTTTTTACCTGGCAAGGGAAATAGTGTTTGGCACCATCAATTACATTACAAAGGAACCATGTGTATGAGCAAATAGGGACTATATCAAAAGAATGTATTGGATGCAAGTAAACAATAGCATTAAGGGAGCTATGCAGATCTAAAAAAGATGGAAATCTAGCCAATGTTTATACTATCAATTGAATGTTAGTCTCTGTTAGCCTTGTTTGGTGCTTTTTCAGCTCACCTCCTGAGCTGTTCTACGAGACATGATCAGCAAATAATTTTTAGATATTGGAAAATAGGTTTACGAATTCTGATTAAATAATAGAATTTATCTTAAATGCTCTGTTCTTGTTTCTACAGTAGAGAAATTTGCATGCAAAAATTTCACTCTGGGTTTGTTTCTTTTCAGACCTGTGTGTGGAATCAGAGGGAAAACTCTCATAATTAATCTGCCAGGTAGCAAGAAAGGGTCACAGGTAAGAAGTGTTCTTACTGATCTGCTACTAAGGACCCATGATGAGTACCTCCCATTGTTCTGAACCGTAGAAAGTACCCACTACAACAAATTTTACAAAAGTAGATTGAAATGCATAGTCATGTAACTGAATGCACCATCACTCTCAGTCAGGGATGATACAATTCTGATCTGACTGAAGGTACTGTGTGACCAGGACAGCCTTCTCCACACAAATACTGCTAAGCTGAATAATGGGCTGTACAACCCAATACGTTGCTAAGGTAGATCACCCATCAGTCATGAGAATGTATTTCTCCAGGGCTTGGACTGTCAGTGACCTTGTTAAAAAATGTCTTTACCTGTGACCTCTAACAAGTGTGTACCTGGTAGTTTATCAACATCTTCTGAACCAGCAGTACCCAATCACAGAGGAGACAGTACTAATGTGTTTGCCAGCACAGCCCTGAAGTCACTGTTACTTGAAAGACTTTGTCTGGAAATAAAAAAAAAAAAAAAAGAAAATGTTTATGTGGGCTGTCACCTGGAAGTTGAAGAGGAAATGTTTTGAATACTGTTTTCTTAAGCAGCCATCGCAGGTTTTCAGATACTTTGTCTACATGTTTCAGTTCAAGGACTCGGTAAGCCCTCCTATGATTCTGCCATTCCTTAGAGCCTTTTCAGGAAATCTAATGAGACTCTGTAGTTGAAAAGAAATTTAAAAGCCTTCAAAACATGCAACAAGCATTGGAGGATGATGGGGCAGGAGTATATCTACTTGAAAGTCTTCAGTTATGACTGGGATGTCATATGTATGTACATGTATTTAATGTAGCAATGAGCCCTACATCTTAGAGAACTGGTGCACCAGTAAGATTTTTTTCAGAAGTCTGTACTACTTTTGTTGAATTATGAAAGAGATGAAATAGCCTACAATCCCTAATGGGTTTTGTTGTGTTCAGTAGCGCTCCTAACATACTAGGTACAGAAAAAATTGTCATTTTCTGCCTTGAGTCTTCACTCAGACTGTGAAACAGGTAAATTGTAGAATGAGGATGCAAAAAAGAAATGTAAAAATGTTAGTAAGTATTTTAACAATAGTTTGGTGCACAGTAAGTAATAAGAAAGGTAATTCTGCTGGAAAATAAATAGTCATGTAATTTCATTGTACAAGCAAGCTTTTTCAAACCGATGATTTATTTGTTCCTGTCATGTCAGTACTCTGTTCTGTCACAATTTATTTTAATATGTAACATCTTTACAGTATCAGATTTCAGCAAAGATGTTTAAGATGAATAATAGAGAAAATTGTTCCGTAACAGGCTGGATCTCAAGAACCAAATAGGGTGGGTTGTTACCAGGAATTTCTCTCATTTCTCTCTTTTATGACTTGCCAATTTCCTTTCCATCATATTAATACAATCATATAAGAATCATATATAAGCAATGAAATTGGGGCAGTATACATATTTCATTAATAAAATATTAAAATATTAATAGAAAATGGCAACAGTGTAAATGCTCAGTCTCAAAAATGGGCGCAATTCATGCCAAAGGTGTTTTCTCCAGAGGAGGTCAGTGTGGCATGTACCACTGAATCAAGATCTTTAGAATACTTCAATTTTTGTGTTTTTCTGGTCTGTTTTCTTTTCTTTTAGCCTTGCAAAAGGTATTTAGTATTATTAAAGAGAGCAAAGTATGAAATTGCCAGATGTTCATTGAAATCACTGGGTCTGTGGCAATTTTCGTACTTGTACTAACAATTGCCTAAAACGACGAGTTTTATAATAACATGAGCTTTTAGAGTGCTTACTGGGAACCTATTCATCAACAGCCAAGCCAACAAGGCTTTATTTGAGTGGCAGGAGTACGGAACATGGTTCTCTAATGAGTTAATCATTAATGTACTTTTTCATGATTATTGGTCAGTCCACAGATTGTTGTCCTTGTTTACCACTTATTTGAGATCTGCTTTTTTACTGAAGTAACGATGGTTGTATGCTTCAGTATTTAAAACCGTTTTTAAACTAATACTATGGAGGCACAGTAACTGAGGTTTGCAGTTACATTAGAAGTTATATTTATTTATGTTTACAAATATATTTTAATTTATATTCATTATATACAGCATCTTATGCTCATCCAGTTTACTCCAGTTCTTCAGAGTGCCAAATTGAATGTTTAAAGAATTTATAAATCTATGAAGTAGTGTGACTTTTCATTACTCTTAAAGGAGCACTGAAAGGTGGGTTCTTATTTAGAAGCTTTGAGGAAATACAGTGTTTATGAGTCATATTTTTGACTTGCAAAATGGCTTATATAAACTGTAGTAATTTCTGATGGGTGGTTTGCTCTTTATTTTGTTTCCATAGTCATTTTTATTTATTGAAAATATTTATTATAGTATCTATTTACAAAATGTTTATCATTATTTATTTTCTAGATACTCTAAAATGTGGAATACATTTTTTTAAATCTTCCTTATGCTTGAAAGAAAACTGAAAATTAAGTGCAACGAAAGGAATAATGTCAGATTTCGGTGTCAGCTTCTATGTTCCCTAACTACACTGCTATGGCAATTCATTCTTGTGACCCTGTAATCATTTTCCAATAATTTAATGTTTGTATGCAGTCTGCTCAAATAACATGAAGAAAACTCTTTACTGAGGTTCCTGGGAGGAGGATGAGACACAGTAGTCATAAATCGAAGAAGGTAGCTTCCAGCTACATAAAAAGAAAAGAAAGAAAAAAACCCACACTTTGAGGGTAATTAAGCATTAGAACAGATTGTCAAGAAGGGTTGTGGAGTTCCTGTTCTTGGATTTTTTTCAAGACTTTACTGAACAAAGCCCTGAGCAACCTGTCTGAATTTCATATTGGCCCTGATCTGAGCAGGAGCCTGCAGTGCATGACGTCCTGAGGTTCCTCTTTGGTTTGATGAAATGCTAGCATACTTTAGTAGCAGAGTTAGCTATATATGTGTATACCCATTATGGAACAAGAAATGTTACACAGTGTCTGCATTTTTGCTTTCTCCAGCCATGTAAGACAAACTTTCTAATTGTTTTTAAGATCACAGAGCAAGGAGAAGTTTGAAAAATAGATTATTTATGAACAATTTTTTCTAAGTTACATAAAATTATGACATCGGTGTAGTTTGCCATTCTTCCAGTGTATAGGATAAGTCCATAAATAAAAAAGGATATAATTATGTAAAAGTATAATTATGAAAACCCTTATGAAATGTTTTCTAATTGTGAAGGAACATAATAGGAATGATTTGAAGCTGATATCCCTGCAGGGATAGAGTTAATGTTTTGTTCTGCATTTTTGTAGCGTTCTGCTAACTGCTGTGAAATGATTTCTGTATTATGTATTAATGAAAATTTAACTCCTGTTTTCTGAGGTTTTTAATCCAATATTAGCTTAATTACAGTAGCCCTGTTGTACAACTTACTATATTTGCATGAAAAAAGACAAAAATATGTAGTATAGTCCCTAGTTCTGGTTCTGAGTTTGTTTTTTTACCCTCCATGAGCAATTGCATAGGACATTTAAGGTTTTATTTATGATCAGGTTAAAAGATACATCTAAATCCCAAATATATTTTAAAAGTAGATCTGAAAAATCCCTATTTGCTTCTGCAGGTAACTTTTCACAGTCATTTCTCTTTTTATTGTGCATAGGAATGCTTTCAGTTTATACTGCCAGCCCTACCTCACGCCATTGATCTTTTGCGGGATGCCATTGTAAAAGTAAAGGAGGTACACGATGAGCTTGAAGATCTACCTTCACCACCACCTCCTCTTTCTCCTCCTCCAACCACCAGCCCTCACAAGCAAACAGAAGACAAGGGAGTACAGTGTGAGGAAGAGGAGGAAGAGAAGAAGGATAGTGGAGTTGCCTCAACAGAGGACAGTTCTTCTTCACATATAACAGCAGCAGCCATTGCAGCTAAGGTGAGTCTGGCTTGTTTCCCTAAGAGACCCTATAGTTTCTATCTCAGGTACTTTCCACCAATATTTATTTGCATGTTAATACTATACAGTGGTGTTTGTGTGGTCAAACAGATTTGTTTATGTAAATTTTGTAGAAATATATCTTCATAAAAATATGTGAATCCTGTTCTGGTAGGTGATTTCAAATTTCAGTGGGAGATATATTGTTTATTATCCTGACAATGACATGCATTTTTATGATACCATTCTGATGTGACAGACTATTTTTAGGGTTGTTTTTTTTTTAATTCAAAGTACTTACACGCCTGAACATGCAAAGTCCAGTAGGTGGCGTATTAAGGAATCACAACAAAATTTTCTAAGCCATAATATCTATTTTGAAAATGTTGGTTTCTAAAAACATTGATAAAAACTATGCAGATAGGTAGCAGGTTAAGTAATAAGCTGTCCAGACTACTGTATTCCAGTGTGCATGTCCGCATAACAGATATGAAATTCTGCTGCAAAACTAAATGCCATCACATTGTCTTTATAGCCTCCTTTAACCAGTAATCATAAATCAATGTTACTCAAAGCAAAATAATAGATTTGAGGCTATAAAAGGAAAAAGTTAGGTAACACTTGCAAATTAGTTCAGTTTGAATTTTAAATATTTTCCAAGGAATGTCATGTTATTTGAAGCGATATATAAATATTTACCTCAGTTTTATGTCTTCAGTTTTCAGGTGGAAAGACAATGTATTCCTACGTGTTTGGAAAGGGGTTTTTTCCAAACTGCTTTGTTCTATATTCTTACAAATTGTGCTTTTAATTCCTATTGTGAGAATTGAAAGTCCAACTAACTCAAAATTATATCAAACCATTTCTAAACCAAAGCAGTAACATTCTAACTCCAGAAATGTGAATTCAGGTCTGAGACATCTTGACATTTCTAAGACAGCTGCAGCTGGAGATCATCTCCTCATGTACAGGAAATCCTGATTACATATATCTTTACAGGGATGAATTAAGGTAATTTTCACTTGCAAGATTCAGTTTTTATTAATGCAAATTTTAAATTTATTAATTTCTTTTGATATAGGCAAAGACAAATAATACGTGCAATTTTTAAAGGCAGAAAATACCTGAGATCTAAACTGGCTGTGTTCATATGAGTTTGGCATTTCAGTGTCACACTTGTTTTCACCTCATTCCCTTCCGGTCATTTGCTTGTACAGTTTCTTGTTTTCCTGTCACTGTATTCATAGCTGTTATGTGTTGTGCATTAGAAGCATCCATCCTACACCAGTTCAGCTGTTATCATGGCAAAAGGTGAACAGCCCATCCCTGGTCTCATCAGTTATTGCCATCACGCAGCAGGCAGTGCAGGAGAACCGGTAAGAGACACTTCCAAGAGGCTTTTGCACTAACAGTAGCTAAAAATACACTGCCTGCCTCCTAGTCTACTGTGCGAACAGACAGTGTTATTTATTTTCTTCTAACAAAAGACACATCAGTGCTATCCTTTAGAGAACATGCTACAGAAAATATTCTGTTTAAGGTACAGGGCTAAACAAGGTAAAGTTCGTGTGCGTTGTCAGTTTGAATCATTTGGCTGCTGAGATAATCATTGCTGTAAAGCCTTTCTTTCTGATTAGTCATTGGCTTTATCATCTAATATACTCAATAATTGAATATAATTAAAATAATATCCTACAATTACTGCTTTAGAGCTATGAAATTTTGGTAACTTTTTCCCCTTCGTTTGCCTTGCTTTGCTTCTTTTCTCTCAAGAGTTTATTTGTCAACATAATACAGCATTTGCCCTGGGTGTTCATAGTTTGCTTTCATCACTTGCAGTTTCTCCCTTATTTTTGTATTCTGTTTAGAAGCAGAATTTCTCAAAAGCAGAAGAGACTTGAAGAGTCAGGATACAGTGGACTTACTATAAATTACTGGATTTTGGTGAATAGTAGGCAACTATTTCAATGAATGGTAGAAAGGACTTAGTTTATTATAACCCAGAATTCATAACTTGGGCTCTAACAAAATACTATGTTTTCCGTGTCCCAGAGGTTTAGTCTAGGCTTGAATCAAGTTAGAATAATGGCTACAGTATCATCAGGAATGAAATGTAATTTACTGTGCTCATAACTGTAGATTCAAGAAACCTAAGGAAGGCAGTTGGCCTGGAGAGAGTTGTGCTGGCTCATTTCATTCCATGTCAGCCAGCAAATGAAGTATAAGTTCTTGGGAAAATAAGTCCCTAGATTTGATGACCAGAGGCTGCACTTTCTTGTTCCCTTAGGTAAATTGTAATTTAATCCATCAGTCAAATAGTGTAACACCTCTGTATTTAAAACTTGATGACCATGTTTCTTGAAAAGTCACTTAGGAATTGTGAAGGCTTTAAAGTTCACACACTTGCTGATGAAGCTATATATGTGCACATACACACGTTTATTCCAATGGGGTTTTTTTTTGACTTGAGATTACTAAACTAGGATTTGCGCCATAATCGTCAGTATCAGTAGAATAGTGAATTCAGCATCTGAATTCTCTGATTAAGCTGTCACCCAGGCTTCTGGGCCCTTTTGCACATTACTCTTGAGCTATTGTTTTATGCATACTATAATCCACATCACATCTTTAAGTTCAGAGCAGGAAGAGGCTAGTTTTTCAGAAGGTTGTTGTTTTTCTTAAGCTTTCTTTTCTCTATGTTTTTAAGACATACTTGCTCTTCTGTAACAATCATAGTAATTACCATCTACAGCTTGTTTTCTTAGTATCTCACCAGCACTGTCAATCTTTGTTCCAGTCCTGGGCAAAAGAGAATAAAGAGCTCATGTCTTTTTCTTTTTCCCCTTCTTGTCAACACTTAGTTCTCTAATCTGAAAAGAGAAATATTTGAACTGATAAAAAAGTACTTTTGGAAAAGGTCATATCAGATAAAAATTGTAGAAGCGATGACTGATGGATATGGTAGATATCTTTCTGTGTCACTTCATTCATTTCTCATTCATTTCTTTCTCCATCAGTATGTTACAACAGGCTTTCCACTTCAGCTAGTGCAAACAGACACTATTTTCACTGAACTTAGAGTTTTATTGTAACCCGTTTATAGTTTTGAGACTTCTACTCTCTGTTATATGTGTTTGAAACTGGAAAGTTAGTTGAAAAATTTTAGGAGGAGACATCATAAATATTCAGAGTATGACTTTAAAAAAAAAAAAAACTGTCCAAAACGCAATAATATTCCTGCCCTATATTGCAGGTTTCCAGACTCCAGGAAACATAGAAATTTCTCATGGGTTTATCAACTTCTTTTCAGGGTTAACAAGAATTTGCCTTCATTAGAGACTTAGATTACCTAAATTTACTTTTAAAACTAAAAATACTTATTAAATGTAGATGAGAAAAATGGGACATTCTCCATATCACGTAACATATATGCATAGAAATACCAATCATATTTTGTTGTCCCTTTCACTTAATGAATGGTGTATGTCCATTATATTTTTCAAATGTTTATGTTTATGCAGTATATGCATATTAGTACCTTTTCTGAAATCAGCAGATTGTAGTGGTTTAAAGAGAATATTGGGGGCCCACAGGAAAGGTGGGGAGGGACTTTACCAGGGAGGGTAGTGATAGCGTGAGGGGTAACTGTTTCAAACTGAAAAAGGGGAGATTTAGATTAGGTATTAGGAAGAAATTCTTCACCCTGAGGGTGGTAAGACACTTCTCACATTGCCCAGAGAAGCTGTGGCTGCCCCCTCCCTGGCAGTGTTCAAGGCCAGGCTGGATGGGGCTTTGAGCAACCTGGTCTAGTGGAAGGTGTCCCTGCCCATGGCAGGAGGGTTGGAACTGGATGATCTTTAAGGCCCCTTCCAACCCAAACCATTCTGTGATTCTACATTCATGCTGGTTTTAGCAATACAACACACTCCACTGTCATATTAGGAAGTAAACCTCTGGAGAGCAAAATTTGTAACTGATCTAATGTAATTCTCTCAGCAAGATTTTGTGTCTGCAAAAGCTAGTAAGCTGAAACTTAGAGTTCTAGGTAGGTTTATATACGGACTGTTTGGTGGCAATTGTATTTTCTGTAAAGGTAGTGATTAGGGAGTAATTCCCATTGACATGAAATCCCTTTATCTTCAGCTTCCTTTTCTAATTAATGTCCTGGCTGAAATTTTACTTAAATTTTCATTTTCTCACAGGCAAAAATTAATACTTCACATGCAGTTCAATGTAGACTGAAATTGTCTCCGTCACTTTACTGTAGACAGGGGTTTTTGTTCTGAAAAAGATGGTATCTGATAAAATTTTAGAAGTAATAATTGATGGATATGGTGGATAGAAAAAAAAAAAGTGACAGTTACTTGCCTGAATGGGAGGAGACAATATTTAATATCTGATTACTCTAGAGTAACCAGAGTAAACCCAGAGAGAACTGAATCATGGTATCATTTGCAAATGCAAAATTGTATTTGTATTGTGAGATCTTGGACTAGATAAAAGAGGTAATGGACCTGTACACAATCATACCAAGATGTTTGCAGCTTTTTATCAGGGGAGGGTAAAGAAAAGGTGTCTTATTTGAAGACTTAAAACTATTCTTTCTTTTATTGAGTCTTTTTTTATTTTATACCTTTTCAAAATGTAATTTTTTGCTGTATTGTCCTTAGTCATGGAGATTAAAAGGAAGCATTACAAGTTGTAGGTGGTATTGGAGCTATGCCAATATAAAACTTAGGGATGTCAGGCTTTTTTTGTGTTTAATGTATTTAAGATGAGATTTCAGGAGAAAAAGAACAGAAGGGAAATAGTGCTTCTGACTATAACCTGTTTGCATGATCTGAATATCGTTGTCCCCGTTTGCCTCTATTTATAGTACACCTCTAAGGTGTCATTTTCAAATAAGAATACTCCAAGTAGAGACCAGGTAGGCACTGTTTGTGGAGAGGAAGATACCCCCAGCAGAATCATCCATAGTGAAGAGAAACTCTGCTGACTTCATCGTTTGTAGTGGAAATTGCAGCACAAGTTACTTAGCCTTGAAAGATCCTCTGAGGAGAGTTGAGGTTGTTTAAATGCTGACAGATACTGACTGGCAAAAAATGCTGTCAGTCTAGAAACACAGCAGTAGAGCAGAAAGCAGGCAGTTGGTGGCACAGTGAGAACAAGAGCTGTTTCCACACAACTCATAAACAGGTTATAAAGATGAGAAACTCTTAACATGTGGAGGAGGGTTTATGGTGAATAAGATCCCCTAGGTATAACCCAGTATCTCTAAGTCAAGGTTGCTAAGTTAGATATACTCATTATTTATGGATGGGAACTGAGGAAGTTGAGGGGAAAAAAGTGACATAAAAAAGCAGTATTTAATGACTCAAGTCTTAAGATTGATCATTTTAACTGCACAGAGACAAGCAACAAAGCTGTCTTAATATCCTAACACTGGTCCTAAGGATGCAACAGATTTTAAAAGCTAGGATTCAAGCTTGTTCCTGGAAGGAGGTACTTTCCAGTGCCTTCTATATGCCTTAAAGCCTTACTAGGCAAGAATGCTCAAAATGCCTAGCTGCAGACTGGATACAACATCTCCATTTAAAAAAAAGTCCTGGCTGGAAATGTCTGATGTTAGTGGTTTGGGTTGTCACTGAATCTTCATTTCTTCCTTCCTTTTGTGGCTACTGTCATTTCCCCCAAACATGGGGGTGCTTTTGGTGGTTCTCTTAGAACTCGAACATCAGGCTGAGCTAAGAAATTCTTAATGAGGAGAAAGGTCGTAAAATATGTGTATATATATTCCTTCAAAGATCTGAATTTCTACATTTCCTGGTCTGTTATGATAGAAATGTCAATTGCAGGAAGTAAGAGCAATCTGATCTGGTAGAGAAGTGTTGCCTCTGAAAAAAGAAGGGGTTAAAATCATGAAAATAAAATTGGAATAAGCCTTTGTAGAGGGTGTGTTATAGTGGAATATCTGCTGCATTTTGTGTTGTAGAGCTAATGTTAGAGATCAGTTCTCCTATCTGAGGTATTTATCACTTGTATGTCTTACCATTTTACACAAAAAGTAAAAAAATAATCATTATATTAATCTAGCAATCTGGTCAATTATAAAGCCCATGTGATATCTGCATGACTGGGCCCAAATACTGCAGTAATGAGAAGCAACAGACTTTCTAAGATTCGGGAAATTAAAGCTAAGAAAAGTTTTATTATTAAATGCGGTTTTCTACCGCTTTTGTTTGTAACTGGTGATAAAACTGAACAGAAAAGACAGAAGATAAAAATTAATGAAAGAGTCACTTCTATAACTGAAAAGACGACCACTTTCTTGCTGTTGTAAGTTGTTGTAGCTCCATTTATTTAAGTGGCTTAATAATACCAGCTAAAGGATCTGTTCCTAAAATTCAAGCTTAGAAATAGAATCATCAAATAGAATAGTTTGAGTTGGAATGGACTTTTAAAGGTCATCTAGACCAACGTTGAGCAGGACATCTTCAACTAGATCAGGTTGCTCAGAGCCCTGTCCAACCTGACCTTGAATGTTTCCAGGGATGGGGCATCTGCCACCTCTCTGGGCAACCTACTTCCATGTTTCACCACCTTCATCATAAAAAGTTTCTTTCTTATATCTAGCCTAAACCTGGTTTGAAACCATTACCCCTTGTCCTATTACAACAGGGCCTGCTAAAAAGTATGTCCCCATCTTTCTTATAAGCCCCCTTTACATACTGAAAGGCTGCAATAGTCTTCCCAAAGCCTTCTCCAGGCTTCTCCAACAACTCCAACTCTCTCAGCCTGTCTTTACAGGAGAGGTGCTCCAGCTGCCTGATCATCTTTGTGGCCCTCCTCTGGACTCTCTCCAACAGGTCCATGTCTTTCTTGTACTGAGGACTCCAGAGCTGGACAAAGTACTCCAGGTGGCGTCTCACAAGTGCAGAGTAGAGGGGCAGAATCGCCTCCCTCAACCTGCTGGCCACACTTCTTTTGATGCAGCCCAGGATGCAGTTGGCTATCTGGGCTGTGAGTGTATGTTGCTGGTTTATGTTCAGGTTTTCATGCACCAGCACCCCGAAGTCCTTCTCCTCAGGGCTGATCTCAATCCCTTCATCCCCCAGCCTGTACAGATACCGTGGGCTGCCTCGACCCATGTGCAGGACCTTGCACTTGGCCTTGTTGAACCTCATGAGTTTCACACAGGCCCACTTCTCAAGCTTGTTCAGGTTGCTCTGAAAGGCATCATGTCCCTCAGGCATGTGAACCCCACTACTCAGCTTGGTGTCTTCTGCAAGCTGTCTATACCACTGATGGGCATATTAAACAGTACTGGTCCTAATACAGACCCCTGAGGGGCACCACTTGTCAGCAGTCTCCATCTGGACATTGAGCAGTTGACCAATACTCTCTGGATGCAACCATTCAACCAATTCCTCACCCACTGAACAGTCCATCTATCAAATCCATATCTCTCCAATTTAGCGAGAAGGATGTTGTGGGGGGTCGTGTCAAAGGCCTTACAGAAGTGCAATAGACAATATCCGTAGGTCTTCCCTTGTCCACTGATCTACTCGCTTCATCACAGAAGACTACTACATTGGTCAGGCAAGACTTGCCCTTGATGAAGGCATGCTGGCTGTCTCGAGTCATCGCGCCATCCTTCATGTGCCTTAGCACAGCTTCTAGCAGAATCTGCTCCATGATCCTCCCAGGCACAGAGGTGAGGCTGAGATGTCTGTAGTTCGCGGGGTCCTCCTTTCTACCCTTTTTAAAAATGGGTGTAATGTTTCCCTTTTTCCAGTCATCAAGGGACTCCACCTGACTGCCATGGCTTTTCAAATGTCATGTAGAGTGGCTTGGCAACTACATCAGCCAACTCCTTCAGGACTCTGGGGTGCATCTCGTCAGGTCCCGTAGACTTCTGTATGTTTGGGTTCCTGAGGCAGTCATGAACCTGATCTTCTCTTACAGTGGGAGGGAATTTGCTCCCCCAGTCCCTGTCTTGCAGCCCATCCTTAGAAGATGTGTGGGAAGGGAGGCCGTCAGTGAAATCTGAGGCAAAAAAGTTGTTGAGTTACCTCAGCCTTCTCCTCATCTGTTGTTACCAGGTTGCCAGTTGTGTTCATCAGGAGGGATATGCTTTCCTAGCTTGCTTTCTAATACATTATGTGGAAAAAAAAAAAAACCCGACTTTTTATTTTTCCCTTCAGAATGCATGTCAAACAGTTGTTGGCTTTGGATGGTGGTTTCTAGTGCTTTTGCCTGTACTCCCTCCAGAGAGGCCTGTAGATTTTGCAGCACAAACCTTACATCAGAAATTTTTGTAGCGAAATAGTCTTCAGTACACGGAATGAAGAGTATTTTCTCATTGCATGACGTTTCTTCAGAGGGGTTCAGTCATTGCTAATAAATGGTTTTCAGTTCAGAATATTGTCCCCTAGTTAGAGAATGGGAAGTCTGCCTCTTCATGCCACGGTAGTAATCACTGTTGGTCATCACTGAGTTTGAAACAGAGGCTTAAGAGGAAAAACATTACTTTCTTATTATTTTGTGTTGTAGTATGTCAAATTCATAGGTTTTTCAGGACGAATAGTATGTTCTATGCTACTTAGTTAGAATATGATCTTGTATTTTTGCTATGTATTTGTTACTGAAATTATGAGAATGTGCCATTAACTGCTGCCAACACTGAGTATGAGGAGGTGTGCACACTGAGGAGTGGGGTATTCCTATGTTTTTCATGAAAGATTTTGAGTAAATTTTAAAGACAGTATATATTTTACTAGTAATTCCATCTCTCTTTTTAAGATTCCAGATTCCATCATCTCTCGTGGTGTTCAGGTGCTCCCACGTGATACAGCTTCCCTCAGTACTACTCCTTCAGAATCTCCTCGTGCCCAGGCCACCTCTCGTCTCTCCACTGCATCCTGCCCAACACCAAAAGTAAGTTCCTTTATGCCTTACAAGCTCCATGCTCAGACATATGATCTGTCATATTAATGTATTGCCTCTGCTGAACAAGGTTGGTTCGCATGCAAGGGTTGTATCATTCGAAGTAATAGGCAATGCAAGACAGTGTAGTCCATTCCATGTGTACTGTTGCAGAATTTAATATGTGGGTCCACCAATGCATTATGGTTACTGAAGTTTCGTGTTATCTCTTGAAATACCAATCATGAATATGAAATTGTTAACAGCCTGAATGTCTTTAATATCTCCAGGAGCATAGATAATCCTGCCACTGAGTAACAGCATTGAGCAAATAGTATTTTGTCGACAAAATGTATGTGCAAATTTCTAGCCTGGGCTGGGGCAGTTCTGTGCCCCACTTTATTAGTGTTCGGTTTAAGACACTTTCAAACCAACTGGTTTTGCTCAAACTTAGATATTTGCTGCCTGACATTTGGAAACAAAAAACAGCCTAAATTGAATAGAAAGTTTTAATGCCAACCTTGTGGGATTATTATTCATTTCTTACTGATTATACTATACTATTTAATCATTGAGGTGAACTCTGTTATGTTCTCTTTTTGTCGAACTTTAAATAGCTTACATCAAAAACTATGTGAATTGACCAGTGGCAAGGCCTGTAATGTT